CAAGGATGGTCCAGGCCTCATGAGACGTCTTCGCGAAGACAACAAGGCCGGCAACTGCCGGCGAGAGCGACCCCTGGATGGAGGAGAGGTTCGCCTGGTCCTGCCCCGTCCAGACGCGATGGGCCGGATTGTAGACCGGACCGTGCACGCTGTCTACCAGCGCTGGTGGGCAGGGAAGCAATCCGTCGACGTAGCCTAGCAGGTAGTGACTCCCCAAGAGCGGGAGAACCTGCGCACGCCAGAAGATGTAGTTGTCGGCGGAGAGCTTGATGGTGATGAGATGACCGAAGTGAAACGGCGGCGGCGAAGACGATCCCATCGAGGAGGCTGCCTGGGGTGCAAACACCATGGAGGCAGCCGGAGGCACCGAAGCCGATGCGGCAGGAGGCGGGACCGCAGCCAGGGCGGGCGCCGCAAAGCTCACGGCCGGTGCGGACGCCGCAAGGCCCGCAGCCGGGGCGGACGCCGCCAACCCCGCCAGCGGGGCGGTGTGATCCGCTTGCGGCAGGAGCGGCGGGACGACGCCTGCGGAGTCCGCAGCGGACGGCGGCGCCGCGGTGTGGACCACGAGATCACGCCCGAGCGAGGGCGCCGGCGGCGTGGAGAAGACGGAGCCGATGCTCCTTGTCCCGGTCGGAGCGGGAATGGAGACGGCATCGAGCGGGAGGTTGAGCAGAGCCGCAAGAGAGGCCGGGAGGAAGCCCGCAGCAGTGGAACCGGTGGTGGCGGCGCTCGACATGGCGGCGGCGCGATCGGTGGCGCGGTGGCGGCGGTGAAGGCGGCGGCGGCTACGGCGGCGGTGCGGGTATTAGGGTTTAGAAGCGGAAGCGATCGTAACCTAGCGTGATACCATGTAAGACAATAAGTTTTGGGAACCAGCACAACCCTCTAGGGGTGGCTTATCTCATTATATATAATGGTTCTGTTACAATACGTACATAGGTACAGAAGCTATACATAGTCTAACAGTGAGCAGCCAGGATGAACACGCCCTCCGCCCACACCGCAACAAAGCCCATATCCCATCCTTATTCCCAAAAACAGCGCCTTCAAGAAGGTTTCGGCGCCAGAGGCGTCGCCGCCGTCCAACAGAGTTGAGGTGTTAACCCGGGAGACAAGGGGGACGGGGGTGGGGAACAGGACCTGACCGACGCCTCCAGGAAGGTGAGCGGAGCTCATGGGCGTCGCCGCCGTTGCAGCCGGCAAGGCTGGCAGGGTTTCCCCCTATCCTGCATCCCGGCACCCGCTCCCACCCGACGAAAATCGGAGCTGCACGACGGAGCAGGCCGGATCTGGGGGATGAGCTCGCTGGAGAGGTGTAGGAGTGGAGATGGACAGATCTGACGCCGCCGAGGCCGACGCCGCCACAGCGCCCTGGCCCGCGTCCTCCGGTGGATTCGCCGTTCGCACGGCCGAGATCCGCCGGCCCGCGCCCGCGCCACCAGATGCCGAAAGCTGGGGCGCCTCACCAGCCGAGGCCGCCGCCCCGGAACCCAGGGCCCCCCGCGAGCGAGGCGGGGCAGCGAGGGCCCCGCCGCCACCTTCATCAGCAGCGCGCGGGCTTGCCCGGCGGCTGCTTCAGGCGGCGGCGAGGGGAGATCTAGGAGGGGAGGGAGACGGCGCGGCTAGGGTTTCGCCCCTCGGGCCGCCCGAGCGGGGCGACGCGAGGGAGAGAGAGCTTTATGTGATCTTTCACTCCAAACCGTGTCATTAAAGTCCTTGTTCAGATCAGTGTTTTCATTAGGGTGTGTTCGGTTTGAGAAGAATCAAATGAGCGTGATATCTGACAACGTCGTGACAAGCATTTCTTGTCTTTCTTATGTTCTACTCGAAAGATAAGTCGGAACATTTTACCTGTAGAATTACCCATTTAAGATGCTCCAGGAGACTTTGTTCACGTTCATCACAACTCAGTCATTTGGTTGCCAGTGTAAAAACATCTCGTTGCAAAAATTATGAATAGTATGTATCCAAATTAGACAAACAAGAACCTCTATAATTAATGATGAAAAATTATTCACAATTTCTGCGGACATGTTTCACTAAAGTTCTCACCAATTTCAAACACCATGGAAATTTTTTCCTATAACCAAGACGACAGTCTACAAAAGTGTAGATGAATAGATAATCTCACCCCGTGTGCATGGCATGCTCGGCTCCGAGATGTCGTACATGACCTATCCCCTGCCTCTTGTACCACTTTTGTACATGTGTAAATGCGCACTGAACATATCAATACAATTCAACGGTTGAGCTCGGTAAAACAATTCCACGTATTATGTCCCTGAATAAGAATTGACACTTACTCATGAAGTGTCAGTCTGAGTCAGGGTTGAATCAAGTGGACCGAGCTTCAGCAACCTTGGCGACACAGTTCTATTTCACATACGCCCACCACTGAACCTAGTCTTTTTTCTTTGTCCTTGTCTTCAAAGATTGTGCAAATCAAAACCAAGTATGTGGCAATCATTCACAAAAGGAGTCCCGCTTCGATACATAGGTGCAACCTATCGAACCCCGCACCAACCACACGTGAGTGCTGATCAATTGCCAGACGAGCTAACAAACTTCTTTGTAAATTAGGAAAGCGTGTATAATAAGCACCAGCAGCCAGAACCACATCTAAAAAATTGTTTTAAATTTTGAAATGCGATTTTTTCCCAGTTTTATTTCTTTATTAGTTTTTCTTTTTCTTTTTATTTCCTGATTCTTCTTTATAAACAAAAATTTCACAAATCGATAGCATTTTATCAGACTGTTTACATTTCCAAAAAAAATTCGGTAAATTTAAAATTGTTCAGAGTTTTTTTTAATTTCCCCATTTTATAAAAATAGTTGGATTTTATAAAGTTATAAATGTATTAAAATTGACTCCAGTTTTCGAAACAAGATACCGTTTTCAAAAAATGCGCATTTTCACAAAAAATCTGTAGGTTCAAAAATCGTTGGATTTACAGTTCGTGAGAAAGTTTAAATCAAGAATATTTTTTGGCATTCTGAACAATCCTTGAACAATACCAATATTCAATGCAAAGTAAACCAAATTTGAAAAAATTAGAACACTTTATGAATTTATGAACCATAATTTCAAATCCCAAACAATTATCAAAAACTCATTTTTTTGGAAAGCCAAACAATTTTTAAATTGCAAAAAAATTACTAACAACATTTGAAATAGCTGAATGATACTTGAAAGACATGATTTGTTTTTTGAAAAATACCCATTTTTAAAATTAGATAATTTTCTGAGTTTATGAGTCAAATTTTAAATCACCAACACTTCTATGAATTTTGAACATTTTTACAAACACAAATAATTTTCAAAATCGATGAACTTTTCTCAAATCTTTGAGCGCTTGGTCCGGTCCAACAAGCGCCCAGCGGGAGCGATGCCGTCACTTAGTTGGGCCAAGGCCTAAGCATTTTTTTTTGTTTTTTATTTCTTCGTTTGTTTTGTTAATTCAGTTTTTCCTTCTTTAATTTTCTTATTTTTTAAAGCTGTTCAAAAATTTGAAATATCGTCTGAAATACCAAAAATAATAGTTTTAAGTAAATGTTCTAAATTATGATTTAAAATTCTTTTTTCCTTAAAATATTTATTAAATGATTTTTCTTAAATAGTATTTATTAATTTCAGGTTTTATCCTTTTATAAGTATTAGTTATCTTAGAACATACAATAACATTTGTAAGTATCTGTCTAAATTACAATTTCAAATTCTTTTTTCTTTAAGTCGGGCATGGATGCGTACCATGCGTATACCCACCTGCTAGCAAAAGTTGAAATCATTTTAAGAATGTCCCAAAAAACACCACGTTCAATGTAGGTTCTCCAGGTAGGCCAAAAAGCTTTGTTTGGAGCACGTTGTTTCTCGATGTCCGTTAAATGACCCCAATTTCTTTCGTTGGCTTGTATGACAAAATCAAGTTGTTTTCGTTTTCATCATTTTTTTTACATTTTCTAGAGTGTTCGCAATAAAAAAGGGCCATAAATGACCGGACGTGTCGCAACTTGGATTCGGTGTCGAAAATCGTCAAACCTGATATGAATGCCTACCATGGGCATTTTCACCTGCTTGCAAAAGTTGGGGTCATTTCAAAAATGTCTAAAAATAGACCATGTTCAACCAGTGCTGCAAGCCAGTGTTGCCACAACCGTCGACAAGTTGCAAGCGGGTGCTGCGAGGCGGCCGGGATTGCTATGACGGGTGGCATTGCTATGAGCTGATGCTGCCGGCGCGGCCATACTACGACCCAGTGCTGCGACGACACCGCCATGCTGTGAGCGGGAGTGCTGCATGTCGGTGTTGCGATGGCGCCGCCGTGCAGGCCGCCTGAGTTGCTAGGTGCTATGGTTGTGGTGGGGTTATGCGATGAGAAGACAGAGGGAAGGAAGATAATGTCGTGTTGACTTCCATTGACGGCTACAGACGCCCAGACTATACGGTTCATCAGGTGGATGTTGTTTTGCTTTTGTGCATCCGGATGGCGCCTAGCAGCCTCCTTACTTTTCTATCTCTTCTTCACATAGGCAAAAATTTCATGTAAGCCGGATATAAGCCTGCTATTGAACTTGCTCTTAGAAGGGTTGCAGCTAGGACAGGGTTGCAGCTAGGATGCAAGAGGCACTCCGTATATCCTGCAAAACCAACAAACTAGTTTGTTCCTCAATACCGTGCCAATACCATAATGACTCAATTGCAGTGTCCTTGTGCAAAACCAACAAACTAGTTTGTTCCTCAATACCGTTCCACAGAATGGATGTAGGATATACAACACTGACAGGATAATCTCTTAATCAGTCCGGATGGCGCAATCATTGGCACCTCACGATATTGTATAACAAGACTACATGCCAAGTTATACTTCAAGACGTATCATCCTAGAACAATAATAATATTTGAAAATAAAAATACATAGCGAAATGCATGCGAAAGTGGAAATGAAAAAAAAACATGAAAGACCAATACTCATGTACGGACGCCGGCGGTGCCGTTGCATTCAGCTTCCTCCATTGCATCCATACCTTTTCAGGCAACCCCGGCCGGTGTACGAGTCTCCGCGCGCCGGGCAGTTTTGGATGCAGCTTGGCCTGTTGCCGTCCAGGGCGCTCTGGCCGACGTTGATGGCGAGGATGCGGCGGTGGACCTCCAGGTCCACCGTGAGCTCCGGCGCCACGCTGTCCTCCAGCTTCATCGCTGACATCCGCTGCCGCATCGCCACCGCCGCGTCCATGCTGGCGGGGCCGCCGGCGAAGGTTGCAGCCTTCGCGCCCGGACCAGCGACCAGAAGAAGCGCGAGGATGGCAAGAGAGATGCACACCTTTCTGCCCATGCTAGCTTAGCTAATCCGTGTGTGCATCGTGGTCTAATTATAGTACTGGTCTAATTATAGTACATCGTGGTTTGGTACTGGGCACCTCTCATGGCCCCCATATAGATTGGACGTATGTGTCTGCTGACCGGCCTCTTGATTCCAATGCATTGTAGTTTCGTTTAGATATAATGTAAGAGGGATGCCTGATGTTGCTCCTCGCCAAACATACTAGTCACATGCGGCTTGGAAGGGTCTGAGGCCACGACGCATCTGACAAACTCATGTCATGTCCTAAACTTGAAATTTAGGTCCCTCGCTAACTTTTCTTAGAAACACCTGCCTATTTCTTTTATTTGGGCAACTCCAACACGAACCACCAAATCATCCCAAATGCCCAAACCAGACTGTTTGGTTTTTTTTTGTCATTCAACCAAAGTTATCTTGACAGGTTCGGACGTCCAAAATCCCATAAGCCGGAACCAACCGAAAGTGAAGTTTGCAAGTGTCCGGACCTCCATCACGTCGGACTCTGACAACGCGGAAACACCTAAGACCCCTCTCCTGCCGTTTCTACTCACTCTCCATGATGCATTCATGCCGACGTGACTGGATGAGGCAGCTTCCTACCTACATTCATGTTGGCTGACCGGTCATGTACTTGTCCAGCATTCATATTGGTGCGACGACCGAGAAGCCTCCTCCAGCCGCCCGCATTCAACCCAACGCTTGACCTGCCCGGCTATTTAAAGCTCGTTGGCAATGCCCCAAAACCCTACCATTCCGAGCAGCTTCTCCCTCCATCTCAGCCCACGTTCCATCTCAGCCACTAGCCGACCACCACATCATCATCTGTCTTTGTCCATCGTCTGCCGTTGCAATGACCAGGAAATCTCATGGTTGGCGTAGGTTGTTGACACCGCAGTGCCACGTCAAGGTCCACGTCGAGAGGCATGGCGTCATGCTTGTATTTCGGCAGGCCAACCTCACGCATTTCGTTGGGCCAACCTCCAAGCTCTCCGGAAGAGAGCTCAGACGAGTAGGGGATGGTGGAGGAGGAGGAGCACCACTCCATGGTGATGGTGGAGATGGAGATCGAGGAATAGGTGCCATCATCCGGTTTCACCTTGCTGTAGGTGGAGCAACACTGCATCCGGGTGTTGGCCATGGTGGGGCATGTAGGAGGAGGAGGCGCCATCGGTGCCCACGTTCCTCTGTTGTAGGAGGAGAAGAGGTACAATCTAGTGCTCCTTGTGGAGCACCGACCGAAAGAGAACTATGACATCCCCGATTTGACCGTACACTAATCATGCACGCAAATGTGTACGACCAAGATCAAAGACTCACGGGAAGATATCACATCACAACTCTAGACATAAATTAAAATAATACAAGCTTTATATTACAAACTAGGGGCCTCGAGGGCTCGAATACAAGAGCTCGATCATAGACGAGTCAGCGGAAGCAACAATATCTGAGTACAGACATAAGTTAAACAAGTTTGCCTTAAGAAGGCTAGCACAAACTGGGATACAAATCGAAAGAGGCGCATGCCTCCTGCCTGGGATCCTCCTAAACTACTCCTAATCATCGCCAGCGGTCTGCACGTAGTAGGAGGCATCTTCGGTGTAGTAGGAGTCGTCATCGACGATGGCGTCTGGCTCCTGGACTCCAACGTCTGGTCGCAACAACCGGGTATAGAAAGGGGGAAAAGAGGGAAGCAAAGCAACCGTGAGTACTCATCCAAAGTACTCGCAAGCAAGGAGCTACACTACATATGTATGCATTGGTATCAAATGGAAAAGGGGTATCATATGTGGACTGAACTGCAGAATGCCGGAATAAGAGGGGGATAGCTAGTCCTATCAAAGACTACGCTTCTGGCCACCTCCATCTCGCGGCATGTACAAGAGAGTAGAAGGTAAGTTCACCAAGTAGCATCGTGTAGCTTAATCCTACCCGGCAATCCCCTCCTCGTTGCCCTATGAGAGAGCGATCACCGGGTTGTATCTGGCACTTGGAAAGGTGTGTTTTATTAAGTATCCGGTTCTAGTTGTCATAAGGTCAAGGTACAAATCCGGGTCGTCCTTTTACCGAGGGACACGGCTATTCGAATAGATAAACTTCCCTGTAGGGGTGCACCACATTTCCCAACACGCTCGATCCCCTTTGGCCGGACACACTTTCCTGGGTCATGCCCGGCCTCGAAAGATCAACACGTCGCAGCCCCATCTAGGCACAACAGAGAGGTCAGCACGCCGGTCAAAATCCTATAGCTCAGGGGTCTGGGCCCATGGCCCATTGCACACCTGCACGTAGCGTACGCGGCCGGCGAGTAGACCTAGCCTCCCTTATACAAGAGCAGGCGTTACAGTCCAACCCGATGCGCGTCGCTCAGTCGTTGACATCACGAAGGCTTCGGCTGATACCACGACGTCGAGTGCCCATAACTGTTCCCGTGTAGTTGGTTAGTGCGTATAGGCCAGTGGCCAGACTCAGATCAAATACCAAGATCTCGTTAAGTGTGTTATTTTGAAGTAATTGCGAACGCCGACCAGGCCCAGGCCCGCCTCTCTCCTAGGTGGTCTCAACCTGCCCTGTCGCTCCACCACAAAGATCCACCCAGAGGGCCGTCGGGACAAAGGTCCTTTCAGCCCCCAATCCGTGAATCACTCGCGAGTACTCTATGAGCCGACCCGTCTTTAGTCATCACATGTATCATGTATAAGATATATAATATATACCCGTGATCACCTCCCTAGTGATCACGACCCGATAGTATAGCATGGCAGACGGACAAAAATGTAGGGTCACTGATGATAAACTAGCATCCTATACTAAGCATTTAGGATTGCAGGTAAGGTATCAACAACTGTAGCAACAATGACATGCTATGCATTAGGATAGGATTTACGGAAAGCAGTAACATGTTACACTACTCTAATGCAAGCAGCAGAGATAAGAATAGGCGATATCTGGTGATCAGGGGGGGCTTGCCTGGTTGCTCTG